TTGTTGCTGGTTACTTCGATCCATTCTTCTTTCTGTGGCATCTCTGCAAGAAGGACTTCCCTCTGTATTTCCTGCAATGGTTGTTTTGTTTTCACAAACTCCCTGAGGGTCTGCTTTTCTGAGAATATCTTGATCTCTCCATCATATCTGATGGACAGTTTTGCTGGGTACAGTATTCTTGGTTGACACTTGTGTTCTTTGATTGATTGATATATGTCATTCGACTTTCTCCTTGCTCACATGGTTTCTGCAGAGAAATCAGCATTTAATCTTATTTGCTCTCCTTATAAGTTACTCTTTTCTTCTACCTAGGTGCTTTCAGAATTTTCTCCTTATCCTTGGTTCTGGCAAATTTGACTATGATATGCTTCAGTGTTTTTCTTTTGGTGTCTATTTTATATGGGGTTCACTCAGCTTCTTTTATATATATTCTCTCATTTTCTGTTATGCCTGGACAGTTTTCTTCTAGTAACTCTTCCACAATTCTCTTGGTGCCTTTTTTCTTTTCTTTCTAGTTCTTATCCTTTTTTTTCCTTCTTCCTGTTCAAGGATTCCAAATATGCAAACTTTGTTCCTTTGAATTTTGTCCCATATTATTCTTAGATTTTCTTTGTTCCTGCCTTTTTTACTTTGCTTTTTGTTCTGACAAATCAATGATGAGATTTAAGCTACAATGCCATTCATCCTGATGCAATTGACTCACCTTGTCTAAAGGGGTCCATTACAATGACTGCTTTTGTCACTGGTTTCTCAATGTAAATAGAATAATGTTGCCTCATGAAGAAATGCTCCAAATCACTGGCAATAACAGCGATGCAAATCAAAACCCCAATGAGGTGCTATCTCACTCCAGTAAGTGTGACAAAGTTTAACAGGGTAACAGGTAATAGATGTTGGAGAGGATGTGGTGAGAAAGGAACTCTTATACATTGTTGGTGGGCTTGTAGTTTGGTGCTTCCTCAAAAAGCTGAACATGGAAATTCCATATGACTCCGCTATTCCACTACTTGGAATATACCCTGAGAATATGAGAACTGAGGCACAAACAGATCTGTACACCAATGCTCATAGCAGCATTATTCACCATCACAAAACATGGAAACAGCCCAAATGTTCAACCACAAAGAATGGATTGAGAAACTATGGTACATTCACACAATGGAATACTATGTAGCACATAAGAGCAATAACTTTGTAAACTATTACCTAACTTGGGAGGGACTGGAGAGCATTATGCTGAATGAACTAATTCAGTCCCACAAGGATAAATATTGTATAAGACCGTTATTGTAGAAGGAGTATAAGGATCCAGGAGGGGTGGGAGAGGCTGGAAGCACAGGGATGTGGATGTACAGGGGGAAGAGGGGATTAATCACTGGGTTGTACAATTTGATGGGTGGGGTAGAGGGAAATGGAAAGAATTTGTTTGAATTTGTATTATAATGTTGTAAAAAAAACTAGTGGAAAAAAGTCTGCTTGGGGAGGAGGAAGAGGGAGGTGGTAAAATGTGCAACAATCAATGAACGAAAATCTAACTTTTCTGTAATCTTTTGTTAAAATGACAATTAAAATAAAACATTTATTTTAAAAAGGAATAATGTTGCCTCTAGAATAAAAAGACCTGCTACAGGTGTTGAGTGAACATCACAAGAAGAAAAAAGTTCATCTTGAGTGACTTAAGAGGTACAAGTGCCCCACTGTCAATTAAGATGTCCTTCCTGCTGAATCAAATCTTGGTGATCATTTTATAAGCTCAGAAACCACATAAAAGCCCAGCATCTGTTTTTAATCAGAGATTATACCTTCAAAGAGATCCAGGATTTCCAGTTATTGGATCATTCCTCCCAGTAAGTATATACTCTTCCATTCACCACTTTCTCACTTGTCTACTCTAGCTTCTTGAATTTTTATCATTTTTTTTCCTTTCATTCTATGTTTAGGATGTAGTGAGTTCAATCTTTACACTTAATAGAATTTATGAACCCAGTCCCAACCTTATTCAGCAGTCCATTTTCTCTCCATTTCTTTCTTTAGAAGAGACATTCTGCTTTTCCTCTACTAAAGTCTGTTTTCTTGTCATCAGACATTTACTAATATCTCTTCTATGGATTTCTTGGAGGAGTAGCCTCTTTAAATGTCTGCCCTTATGTCATTATACACCTCACAAGCTCTCCATGAGCCATGACTCTAAGTGTTCCTTCTCCACTAGACCACCAGCCAACACAGGAAAGACCCAGGTCAGTGTTTACTATACCATTAACTCATCTACTTTGTTCCATGTAGCATTACTAGTAAGTGTTGGAAGCATAAGTATCAATGAATCAATGTGAGTTAAAGGTGAGGCTTGCAGCCAGTTTGAAAGAAAAATCAAACTGGCTGCAAGCCTCACCTTCAATTCACATCAATTTGTTGACATTTAGGATTTTGTTCTTATTGTTGTTAAGTGCTATTAGGTCAAGTACAGCCCATAGCAATCCTATAAGCAACATACCTGAACTTTGTCTTATCTTGTGCCATCGTCCCACTTTCTAATACACTAGAACTAATGGGAAAATCACTGTGTCACTGATTGAAGATCTTCCTCTTCTTCAGCGACCCTCTGCCTTTCCAAACATCATGTCTCTTTCCAAGGAATAGCTCCTCCTACCAACATGCCCAAAATATGTGAGGTGAAACTTTATCATTTTTGTCTCTAAAGAGCACTCTGGCTATACTTCCTTCAAGACATATGTGTTTGTGTTGTTTCTTTCTTTTTTTTTTTTTGCCATCCATGAAATGTTCAGTACTATCTCTAACACAACAGCTCAAAGGAAGCAGTTCTTTGTCTTCCTTATTTATTGTCCAGCTCTCAGATGCATAATAAGTGATCGGAGAGGCCATAGCCTGAATCAGATGCATCTTAGACTTAAACTCTCATTATTATTATTCAATAATTTGGTAAGGCCCCTAACCACAGACTTTCCTAGTGAAATATGTGTCTTGATTTCCTGACTACTAGTACCAAGGATGTTGATTGTGGAGATGAAGTTGTTGACAGTTTCAATCTTTTCTCTATCTATCTATCTATCATGATGTCACCTATTGGTCCAGTGTTAAAAATCTTTGTTTTCTTGACATTGAGGTGAAATCCATACTGAAGGCTATATTCTTTGATCATCTCCCATAAATGCTTCAAGTCTTCTTCACTTTCATCTTAATGACAAGTTTGTATCATCTGTATAACACAGGTTATTGTTCAGTCTCCCTCCAACCCTGATGCTACCTTCTCCTTCATAGGGTCCAGCTTCTTGAATAATTTTCTCAGCATACACATTGATTGGAAACAGCAGTGGCATCCACTTTATAAACAACATGCCTCTAAATGATGATAGTTATAAACAGGCTTCATGTTTTCTCTTCATAATGTTGCTACGAGCCATGCTCGACTTGACAGCAATCAACAACAACATACAGATTGAATAGGTATAGACACAGAAAACAACCCTGACACACTCCCTTCTTAATTTTAAATCATATAGTGTTCCCTTGTTCTGTTAGCACAACAGCTTCTTTGTCTAAGTATAGGTTTTGCATGAGCACAATTAAGAGCTCTGGAATTCCCATTCTTCTTAAAGTTAGCCATAACTTGTTATGATCCATATAATCAAATGCCTTTGCATAGTCAATAAGATCCATTTGACATTGGAAATTATATCTCTGGTGTCACGATTTTCATACTCGAAGGTGATATTGACCAGCGACCAGCAGATGGCACTGTGAAATAAGCTATGGCATGTTTCTTTGAAATCATTGCTCAAATTGGTGATACTCAATCATCCAAGGGCTGAGGGAAAGAGGTGCTCTCTGTAGGAGACTCAGCCACTGTATTCTCTCTGGGTCTGGCAGGGTCTGCTGCACACAGGTCTCTGTGGTCCCTGCAGCTGCTTCCCCACCCCCCCACCCCCAAGACAACTAGAGCATCATGGCCAGGCTGCCTGTTCACACGCCCCATGCAGTGTAAAATCAGATCTCTGTGAGAGCACATGAGTCAGGAAGTGGGTTGGCCTACATTTGCCTAGGGAACTCCTCCTCCATCCATGTGGAGGGGATAAGAGAGGCCTGGTACAACCCAGGTACAGACCCAGGATCAAACTAGAACAGTGTTCACCATGGCCTGGAGCCCTCTTCTCCTCCTGCTCCTGTCCCAATGCACAGGTAGGGACAGGCATCAGAAGCCAGGAGGCAGAAACTCAGCCTGTGACAGTCCTTTCAGTTCAGAAACCCAGAAATAAAATCTTAGTCCTCCCCCTTTACACATGAATTTTTTTTTCAGGGTCCTTGTCCCAGCCTGGAGTGACTCAACCGACCTCTGCATCTTTCTCCCTGGGACAAACAGCCAAGCTCACCTGCACCCTGAGCAGTGGCTATAGTAACTACAAGATTAACTGGTACCAGCAGAGCCCAGGGAAGAGCCCCAGGTTTGTGATGCGAGTGGGTACTAGTGGTATATCTGGATCCAAGGGGGATGGGATCCCTGATCGCTTCTCAGGCTCTGGATCTGACCTGGAGAGGTACCTGACCATCGAGAACATCCAGCTAGAGGACGAGTCAGTCTACTACTGTGGGGTATACCATGGTAGTGGGAGCAGCTACGTGTAACCACAGTGAGACAGGCAGAGGGGAAGTGAGACAAAAACCATCTCACTGATCCTTTCTCCCCATAAATATGATTGACAGACCCAGAGGAAACCTCCTAGCTCATCCTGTGAGATACTACCTTAGATATTTTGTAACTCGGCCTACACTTGTGAGAATCTAATCTACTCATTGCCCTCATTAGCACAGAAATATTCTCCAGTATTGCAAAATATTTTTAGAAACATTTTATAAAACCTATAGTTTTATCTGTGGGTTTGTGTGGTTATTATCACAACTTCATCCACTGTAGAATATTTTATTTGTGGATGCAAAGCCTTCATAAGTGCACTTAGAGTAAAATCTCCATGTCCCCTCCCCTGCTAAATAACTGGGAGCAGAATAACTGAGCTACACTCATAAAACCAGACAATAATTTTTTTCTCCCTGGAGGTACAAAAACTTGACCCTGATTTCTTGGGATCATTTATGTCCACCTGACTTCCATTCCTTACTCAAATCATCTCCACAGATTCAGGATGTTGTTGTTGTTGTTACTTGGTACTATCGAGTTGTCTGTGACCCATGGTAATCCTATGTACAGCAGCTCTGATCCGTGCCCTGTCCTGAACCAGTCTCTAATTCTAGCACACCAACCCCCATTGCCCATGTTACTATATCAATCCATCTCATCCAAGATCTTCCTCCACCATTCTGAGCATGATGTCCTTCTATAAGGATTGATTTCTCCTGATCTGGTGCCCGAAATATGTGAGATGGAGCTTCAAAATCCTGTTCTCCAAGGAGAAGCTTGGTTTCACCCTCTCCAAGACAGACATATTTGTTTTCTTGGTGGTCTGTATGTTCAAAACTCTTTTCCAGCACCACAACTTAAAGGCATCATTTCTTCTTCTGTCATCTTTAGTCATTGTCCAGCACTCTGATGCATAGCAAGTAATTGCAAAGACTATGGAATGGATCAGGCTTACTTTAGTCTCTAGATTGACAGCATTACTTTTCAGTACTTTGGAGAGGACCCCAACAACAGATTTTCTCAATGCAATTTGTCTTTTGATTTCTGTACTGCTGGTCCCAAGAGTGTTGGTTGTGGGGCTGAGCAAATATAAATGTTAACAACTTCCATCACTTCTCCATCTTTTCATGGTCCAGTCAGGTTGTAAATACCTCTCCGTGTAGGAGGTTACGCAGGACATTTCCCCACACAGTTGCATGGGAGTGGCTGGGTTTGCTCTATTCTTGAGGCTTTGGGAGGAGTTTCCACTGCCCTCCACAGAGTGAATATGTGTATATGCAGGAAAGGAAATCAGGGTGGAATTATTCCTTCTATAAAATTATGTGTGAACACCAGGACAGAAGATGACCCTGAAAGGCTGTAATTGTCTGTGATCTGTAAAGTTACTCTAGGAAGGAATGTATATCCAAAATTCTCCAGAAAAATAGACTATACCAATATTTCTGAATATATACATATGACCTCACTCAATTCACAGAAAATCACTGATGTATATCTGTTATACAATGGTTGTTTTTGTGATGCTGAAAGTTATACCACTGGTATTTCAAATACTATCAGAGTCATCAATGGAAAATAAATATGAGCACTCACATTTCTTAAGAATTTTTAAAATTTAAGAAATTAAAACAACCAAATGATTATTGAATGTTTTAAAATAGAAATATAAAACTGAAAACCCAGAGATTCTACTGAAGATTATTCAAAAATGACTGGAATAGCACATCAGCAGAGAACTGCCAGAAGTCCAGGCTGGGTTTAGAAGGGGTCGTGGTACACAATAAACCAACTTGACCTCATAGATATCTATAGACTAATGCACCCCAAAAAAGC